TGAGCCGAGAACATGTTCCCTGCTTCTGCTCCTGGGGGGTCCTTCACTGAGGGGCGGTGTCAGTCCATAGGGAAGCAGCAGTCAACACAAGGTTTTACTGCAACCCCGCCTGTCCCTACACCGGCACATCTCTCTGAGGCTCCCATACCACTGCGGTCAGTTCACAGTGCCACTGGACCACCTCGGGAGTTCTGGTGACCTCTCTGATCCTTGGTTTCCCCTTCTGTAAACACAGGAGAAGCATTCCACAAGTGGTTGCAAGCTCTGAAGAAACCAAAACAAAGATGAAATGCTCAGCCCACTGCTGAGGCTGATCCGGTCGATGCTATTACAAAAGGGGGATCTTAGACAGTCCACCGTCTGCAGCTGGCATTAAAGTGGTTCCCAGTCCTGTGCTTCCCACGTCCATCAAAAGCAGAGGAGCCTTTAGAGATCATCTCCTAAAGAGGTGTCAAGTTATGTGGGCCTATCATTCTGCCGTCTTGAACCAAGGCCTGCAGGGTTCATTTGGCCTGCAGACACAATGGCAGAGGCTGGTCCAACTTTCTCTGGACCCTCTGGATCCTTTAAAAGTTTACACCCAAGAACAGCTGCCTCATGAAGGCGTTTTTCATTAGTTCTCTGGAAGATGAAATTCTAATTTCCACACGTTTGGGCCTCGGGAGGACCGGCGCCCTTGTACTGATGGGTTCCCACAGTCTTGATTTAATCATCTCCAGCCTGACGCTGTAGCACAGGAGGACAGAGAGCATGCAGGTGGAAACAGCACTTTCTCCCTTGGAGTGCCCAGCCAAATTCTAACAGCCCCAAGCTTCAGATGGATCCCTGCCCTACTATGAACAGCAAGAGCCCTGAAAGGGTGGGAGTTGGGGTGCTTTCTAGGAGTATGTCTTAGGATATGACTGAAACATCCATTGCAGGGGGAAGACGCTGCAGCCTGCGAGCCTAAGGAGGGAGAATCTTGAACATGCTGTTTGTGTGTTTCCCTGTGTTGGTAGCTTCATGTTTTCCTCCAGTGTCCTCAAGACCTCTTATAAATAATGGGATAGTCCGGTCACTCTAAGGGTGTGGACAGGGCGTGGAGAGCATGAAGTCATGGGGCCTGGACACAAAGCCAGCTGCCCTGGACAGGCCCCACCTGATCAGCTCATAGCCACTTTGCCTGGCCATGGAGAAGCTGAGGGCTATAGCTGGCCTTCACTTAAGACATCTGCTCAAAGGCAGGTGTCCTCAGGTAACATCAGTGTGGGAACCAGACTGTGGCACTACAGGTCGTAAAGCTAGCAGTAAGACTGTAGACTCTGAGACAGCCCTCCCACCGCCGATCACATGGCCTTAGGAATATCCTTTCTCCCTTCTGCCTCAGTTTCCTCATGCATGAAATGAATTTCATAAAAGTGTTGCCTGCAGAGTTGTCATATAGCCACGAAGTGCTAAAACTTGGCACGTGAGTGTTAAAGCAGCAACAGGACACGAGTTCTCCAGAAGCTGTGGATCGTTAAGAAAACACTAAAGGAGAGAGGCAGGATAGGGGTGGGGTTGGCCCTGCAGGAGCCAGAAGGACCCACTGACTTCATGGACAAGGAATTCCAGACCCTGGGGCCTCCGAAGCCCTTCGGGTTGCCTGCTCAGACCAGACGTCTCTGCAGAAGGGCCACAAGGCAATGAATGCCCAAGCCCCAGTATAAAACTCTCTCTTGGAAGCAGGAGGAAGGAATGACTCCCACAGCAAGTCTGTGCTGCCTCCTGTACCCCTGTACCCCTGGCTTCTGCACAGATATGGGCCAACTTCTGTGCAGCTCTCGGGAGGGCCTTTGGACTTGGCTCCAAAAAAGCTCAGAGCAGTGTGTATGCTGACCCCACCCAGGCCAGCCTCAGCCATGTCCCTGGACTTACCAGCCGAGGGGCTGAGCCTTAATTTTGGATCTCTGAACGTGTTCTTCGGGCCAGTTCCTGCCGCATCTAGCCAGCTGGCATGGCCTGGCTTTGCCCGTTCCACTCAGGGGTTCCAGGCTTGTGTGACTTTCCTGTCATTTGTTTAGGGGTTCTTTGAGACATTTCTTTTAGTAGAAAGTGTTCCTATTACAGAACATAAATAGTGAGTAGCAGAAGCTGGAGAGATGGCTCAGAGATTAGGAACACTTTCTGTTCCAGGTTTCTATTCCCAGCATTCACAGGGCAATTCACAATCATTGTAACTCCAGTTCCAGGGGATCCAATGCCCTCTTCTAGCCTCTGTGGGCACTGAACACATATGGTATACATACGTATGTGCCAGCAAACACCCTCCTCCATAAAATAAAAATAAATAAATCTTCAAAACAATAAAGAGAACCATCACTGCCTTCTGAGATGTTTTATGTCCTCCATGTCCAGTTCCACAGACATGGGCCACGTGGAATAACAGACAGTGTGCCCATGGACCTGCCTGTGAAGCTCAGCCTAACTCAGTGCCTGTCTGTGTAATAGCTGCTGTACAGCACCAGGTCATGGGGGCGGCAGCAGGGATGCTCTGACTCAGCATCCCTCATGCCTCTGTGACAGTCCTGTTTCTGGTGGATGGAGAGGATGATGGCAGGAGGAGAAGGAATCTGGTTAGCTGTGTATGTGTACAGGGCCGAAGAGCAGCTTCGTGTAGAGAGCCTACCTGCTGGGCATCAGGCCTTGGGTTCCATCTCCAGCACCAAAAAAGAGGAGAGGGGTGAAAAGATGCCCAGAAGCTAAGAGTGAGCACAAAGGACTCAAAAATCAATTCCCAGCACCCATGGCACCAGGTAACTCAGAACTCAGCCTGCAACTCAGCTCCAGGAGAGCCAATGCATCTGCCCTCTTTGGGCTCCCACTCTCACACTCTCACACACACACATCCACAGAAATACATGGATGCATGCATACACACACACATGCAGTTTTTAAAACTAAATCTTATTAAAGGGAAGGAGAGGCAAGGAGCGTCTCCAAAGTACTAAAGACAAGGACTAAACAACTCCATATGACCAATCTTCACAGAGCACAATTCTCAGCAGCCAAAGGGTGAGACCAGCCCCAGTGTGCACCCCAGCTGAGCAGCTTAGTAGACAGTGAGGGCTTTTGGGGAAAAAAAAGAAGAGACTCCAACAGAAGTGCCACACATGAACCTCAGAAACAGAGGGCAGACACAAAAGGCCAGTATCGATAGACACCAGTTTCACACAGTGTTCAAAGCAGGAAAATGTAGAGACAGAGAGCACACTAGTGGCTGCAAGGGACTGGGGCTGCAGCCAGGAGGGACATTGGCAGCTAACAGGTACGGGGAGCTCTCACTCCATTTCTCTTTCGGTGATTAAAACACACTAACAAAAGACAGCTTAGGAGAGGAAGTGTTTATAATCCCAGGTTTGGGACCATCATTTGAGGGAAATCAAGGCAGGAACTAGCAGCAGCTGGTCACATCCAGTCAACAGCAGAGAGAGAGACAGAGAGAGAAAGAGAGAAAGAGAGAGAAATGCATGCATGCCTACTGCTCAGCTCAACAGCTCTACTCCTTTTTTTAATTAGCATTTTTGTTTTTGATTATGTGTATATGTGGAGCTGGATATTGTGCATGTGAGTGGCCCACAGAGGCCAGAAGAAAGCATCAGATTCCCTGAAACTAGAGTTACATCAAACCTAGGTCCTCTGCAAGTGATATGCATCCTTAATCATGGAGCCCTCTCTTCAGTCCCACCACCTACTCTACTCCACCAGCCCAGGCTCCACTGTCTTGAGATCAGTGCCCACTGTGGGCTGGGGCTTTCCACATCCATTAACATAGTCAAACACCCACCCCCATACACACACATCATCACTGGCCAACCTAGACAGTCTCTCATAGACTCTTTTCCCAGGTGATGGTGTGAAGTTGACAGTTAAAATACCTGGCATATGGAGTTTTATTTGGCTGATAAAAATGTTTGGGAATCAGAAAGTGGCAGGGACTGCAGAGCACTGTGAGGGTGCTGTGTTGTCATGGGAATGTTTCATTTGTTTGTTTGTTTGTTTGTTTGTTTGTTTAAAACATGTTTCTCTGAGAATCTCAGGCAGCCTTGGAATTCACTAGGTAGCCTAGGCTGACTTTGAATTTCGAGCCCTTCTCCCCCAGCCTTCCTAGTGCTGGAATTACAAGTGTGTGCCATCTCGCCCAGCTTCCAGGATTGTTTACTTTAAAATGGTTAATGTCATGCTATGTGAGGGTTACCTCCAATTAGGGAGTATAGAGAGAGGAACAAGGGGAAGGAAAGAGAGGAGAGCAGAGAATAAAGGAAGAGAATGAGAGAGGGAAGAAAGGAAGTAGAAAGAGGAAGGGAGGGAGAGAGGCGGAGAAAGAGAGAAAGGCACCAGTTACCACAGGGTTACAGGCACCCTGACGGATGGAGAGGTGTAGGGGAGAGGGGTAGAAGTCCCTTCCCCGCAGAGCCAGGAGCTGAGATATTTGCATGCTGTCATGGTTTGATTGCAATGTCCCACCAGGTCTTTGAACACCTGTTTCCAGCTGTTGGCCCTGTCCTGAGAAGTCCCAAAACTGTTATAAGGAGAGGCTGGGCTGGCAAGGGTGAGTCACTAAGGCTGGACTTCTGAGGTTCATAGCCCCATTCTGCTTCCATTTCCCTTCTTTGCTTCCTGGCTAGCACTGGAGCAGCAGCAACCGCACACTTGTGCCACAGAGTGGCCAGCCTTCCCCTCTGAAACCATGAGCCAAAATAAACCTTGCCTGTCTTATGTTGCTTTTGTCAGGTAGTCTGTCCCAGTGACGAGAGAAGTCACTGACACCCGGGCCTGGTGTGACAGCAAGGTGCGGGGACGGGGAGTCAGTGGCTGGTGTTAGCCCTACCAGGTGAGAATAAGAACACTATCACATTTTGAGCAAAACCTGAAGCAAGCTTTAGTTAAATACTGGCCGGGATGATGGACTGGCCAGGACCATACCTGGGATTCCCAGAGTATAACAAGTCACAACTGCAGAGGCTTCAGAAGGCAACGCCACCACCCCTGGAGGCAGTGCAGGTGTGGCTGTTGGGTCACAAGTGTGTCAGTGGGTGGCAGAGAAGAGAGAGGCTAGGTCCACACTTAGTGCTCTGGCCTCTGAGCATCTGAATGACGAGTAGCCTAACACTCCCTGAAGAAAGCAAGCCTGAGATGACCACCAGTTCAGCACCCTGCAGGCCTGGGAGAACCGACCATGCTCGAGATGATCCCTGCCAGCTGCCACAATGCACGAGTGGGTCACAGTGCTCCTGAGACCACTCCTGAGATAACCCCAGACACCCAACGATTCCAGGAGCAACTAAGAGGAGCAAGTAAGTGGTGGATAAATGGAAGAGAAAGAAAAGCAGAAGGGTGTGGGCACAATGAGAGAGGCAGAACTGAATAGTGAGAAACAGCCCGATGTGAGTAGCCCGTAGTGGGGTCCTGGCCTGTGCTGCCACCCAGGGCCACGTCTGGGTCTGTGGCACCAAAAACCAGCCGGATGTCCCTGGTCTGGGCTGCCACCTGGGGACATGTTGATGTCTGAGGCTGTGTAGAACTGGCCCCACCCCTTGCCTGGGCATCGTGGGAGAGCTGCACATGAGATCAGGAGAACTGACCCCTCCCCTAGCCAATTGCAGTACTCAGGAGAGCTGGCCCTGCACATTGCAGGAGTTGTGGGTATGAATGTGGGAGAGCTGGCCCCACCACTTGTCTACTGTACGGTGACACGGGCAAAGGAAAGATGTCCCCCTCACCCCTTGCCACCTCCAGCAGACAAGAGAGCCCGTCCTGCCCCTCACCTACTGCAGTACTCGAGAGAGAAAGCCCTGCACCTTCCCTGGTCAACAAAGAAGAACAGGCATTTTTGTTTCATAGGCCTCTTAGGCACATATATTTAAATGGCTCTCACACTGGGGCTGGGCTGTCTGGGGTGTTTCAGTGTGGGGGAGGGGACAACAGACACAAGTTTCCACACTGATACCCTCAGCATCCTGATGACTAACCCTAATCTTGTAGGGACCCTGACTCCAGCCAAAATGGGATTTGTGTCTTTGACACTGAAAAGAAACCCAGGACTAGCAAATTTTTTTGAAACAGAGGTGGGGGTCTTATTAAAGATATTTTTGTTTGCGGGGGGTCTTTGTTTTGTTTTGTTTGAGATAAGATCTCACCAGTTCAGGCTAGCCCTGAACTCACAGAAATCCACCTATCCACCTGCTTCTGCCTTGTGAATGCTGGGATTAAAGTCGTTAAAGATACTTTAATATAGTTAAGAGAAAGACAAGCGCTCAGAAGAGAGTAAAACACCCCAGAAAGCATGGGTAAGAAGAGTACAGAGTAAGACAGACCTGAGTGTGGTTGAGTGCTCTTCAAGAGAGCCCCGATCCATTGGCTTAGCCGGAAATACTACCTGATGACTCTCAAAAGGTAGCTTGGAAAACCTTTCCTGTCTCTTCTTATAGGTGACATTTTGGGGAGGCTCTGGAGGTGCCTTAGATGGAATTACAATCTGATAAAGTAAAACAAGAAGTCTAGTGCTGCAAGGGTTTAGCATGTGTCCTTTGCCTGTAAATGGGCTTTCTGGTGAGATTCCTAGAAATCTGGAGGTTTGTGCCTAGAAAGGGACAACTGTAAGCAGTTGCTCATTGTCCTGGACTTTCTGTGTCTCCACTGCAGAGAGGCTGCAACCATATCCTGGGTGAGGCGGCTCCTCTGCCATTCCTATGTCCCCCAAAATTTCCTATCTTTCTGTCTCACTTCAGAGAGGAACATTGAGGGTGGGGGACAGAGGTGGAAAGAACAGTAAGAATGAAGCAGCCCTGGCCAGCTATACCTGTACATGCCTGTCCCTGGCCTAACCCCTTCTCCCTAGTTATCCTGAAGGTCACAATCATGCATCCATGTAATAGACGTCATGATGGCACCCCAGAGATGTCCTAATTCTGTCCATTCCAATAAATGGACATGGCTCATTTTGCAGGAAAGGGGATCCTGAGGGTGTCTATTTGTGAGCTGTTGTTTTTTGTTTGCTTGCTTGCTTGCTTGCTTGTTTTGAGACAGGGTCTCATTATGATGCTCTGGCTGTCCTGGAACTCACTATGTAGACCAGGCTGGCCTCACAGAGATCTACCTTCCTCTGCCTCCTAAGTGCTGGGATTATAGATGAGCACCACTAAGCCAGGCTTAGCCTATTACTTTTTAATTCAGCCTATTGCAAGTTCTCAGGACATGAGCAGAATGTAACCAGAAAGTATCCAAAACAGCCCAGTCCTCAGTTCTTGAAAGACTCCTTGTTTACCCCTGAAATCTCACAAGCAGGGTCTCTGCTGTCCACATTTCTCTTGGTATCTTGCTCTTCCAAGATCATACCCAAATGACCCACTGTCTCTGCTTGAAGCAGCCTGAAGCTCCAAACTTTTCCACATTGCTCCCCCAGACCAGTTCCAACAACCTGAGAACGAGATGGTCAGGTTTAGCACAGCAATGACTTCTCTACTGGGTACTAGTTTTCTGTATCAGTTGCTTTTTCTGTTTCTGTAATACTTGACAAAAAGAGCTTAAGGGAGACAGGGTTTGTTTGGCTCATAATTCGAGACTACAGTTCATCATGTTGGGGAAGGCCTGCCAGCAGGGGCTTGGGAATTGTGTCCACAGTCAGGGGAGAGAGACGAATACTGGTGCTCAGCTCACTGTCTCCGTCTGTTCAGCTCAGGATCCCAGCACAACAGACACGCTGCTCACAGTAGGGTTCCTCCCTCCTCAATCAACCTAATACAGAACCCTTCCCCTGAACATGCCCACCTTAACAACCAGTATCACGCCACACACACACAACACTGTACAGCTGTGGTATGAATGCGGTTTGGGGCTAACATGTAGTGGAACTCCATCCACACTGTCAGCAGGAGGCTCTTCCTTTGGATGCTACAGTGGGCTCAAGCAAACCTCAGGTCTTTGTACAGCTGGAGGCCTCAGTCACTGCCCCTCCCCTATTTGTTGTACCAGGAACTGAACCTGGGGTTTCATATATGCTAAGCAAGTACCCTTCAACTGTGATATATCACCAATCCTCTTTTAGCTTTTCATTTGGAGACAGGGTTTCACTAAATGCCCAGCTGGGCCCTTGAACTCACTATGTACCCCATGTTGGCCTTGAACTTGGGATTCTCCTGCCTCGGTTTTCCCAGTACTGGGATGACAAGCCTGTTATCCCAGGCCTGCCTTCTCTCCTCTTTTTATTCTCTACTTGAGTTTTTCGTTTCTGTGACCCTGAGTTGGTTATTCCTTTGTCATTTCTTTTCTTTAAAAAAACAAAAACAAAGACAAAAAAAATAAAATAAAATAAACTTTTCTATTATTGTGGTTAAAAAAAATACACATAACAAAATTTACCCTCCTAACCACTTCAGAGAGTGTGACTCCAGGGTGTTCAACCTCATCGTGACCATGACCGTGACTATCTGTCCCCACAACATCAAGCCCCCACTTCCACACTCAGCTGGACCTATTTCCTGTGATCCACCCCTGGTGTCCAGGGAGTGACTCAGATGGATACCTGAGTTTAAATGATCCCATTTAAAGTTAGACAGTCGAGTCTGGGCTGTTTCAGACATTTAACACTCCCGCACACGCGGGGAACACAAAGCCCGTTGGCAGGCTCACTGCATCCTTCTCTCTCAAACTTGGCAGTAAAGCATCTCTTTCCATAGATGCTGTGAACCTTCTAGGCTTCCATTCTCAGGGCCCCCTGTGGCTGCCACGACTATGGATCACCGTTTCCCTGGGTTACACATAAAAATGTTGTCCCCCTGGATGTATGGACGAGCTCTATGTAACGCAAAGGATGAGTTCCAGAAGAGCCAGCCAGGGCTGTGTGCCAGCACCGTGAGGAGTCCCAGCATCACTGTGATTCTACAGGCATGTTGTAGGCCAGGGGACAGCCAGAGAGGACCTTTGTGGAGCCCTCTCTCAAGGACAGCAGCTCTGCCCTTTCCCCTCTGCTCTCCAGCAGCTTCCTGTCTCCTCTGCTCTTACCTTCCTGGTGCTGTCTCTGTTAGAAGCTGAGTGGAAACATCTGAACAGCTCTGGCTGCCTCTCCAGGCTGAGATTCAAACACGAAGTTTCATCCTTGACCCAGATCCGAGTTGCCCTTTGTCTGTGTGCCTTGGGTAGCTCCTTGTTGAGAGGCCCTGGATGAAGGGCATATCGTTCCAGCCCAGTCCAGTAGCCCACAGGAGCTCAAGGTAGCTCTTGAGGAAAAGTAAGGGGAGGAGTAGAGGGAATACAGACTTCCCAGCTCCACCGTCCACTCCTGGACCCACCATTGATGCTACCTTTAGTTGTGACCAGAACAGACCACTCAGAATTTAGGGACCACATTGAGAAGGAAGGCTTCTCACAAACCAGTGCTGAGGTATAGTGCAATGTGGAGGGTTTGAGGTGCACTAGCCCCCAATATCTCCACACAATTGTGGCAAGATGGCTCCAGTATCAGTCCTCTGCTGGCCCCAGACTCAAAGTCAGGACTACCATTGGCTCCTCTCTGGGGTCATGTGAGGAAGACTTGAGTACCTGACATTTTACAGACTTCCCTCAGGCCCAACAGTCTGAGAAAACCTCTTCCCTGAGCTGATGGATGGTGGCTCCATGACAGCTACCTCATACCTGTGCCTGGCTCCTCAGCCTACACCACCTCCTTAGGAGCAGGCCTTGGGAGGCTGGATTCAAACCTGGTGCATCCTTGGAGCTGACAAGCAGGGGATGGAGGAACAAGGGAAAAGATACTAGGATAACAGTCTGCTCTGCACTTGCTGATCCTCAGAAAGTCCAGAACTGTGGGGAAAGGGAGAGAGGGCAGCAGCCAGAGAAAATGACACAGAGCTAGGTCAGTAAACACAAAGCACATCCTATCCCAGGTGAAACCACCAGAAGTCAAGATTCAAGCAACTCAGGACATTCAAATAGAGGCTGTACATCACCAATGTGAGGAGATGGGGGTGGGGAGACTGAGGGTACAGTTATGAAGAGAATTGTAACTGTTTTGGAGGATGGGGGAGAAACAGAATGGGGAGAGAAAAGGGAAGAGGAACAGGGAGACACACACACTATGCTGGAGGGAGAAGTATGTGAGAGCAGGTGGGGAGGA